AAAATAAAATTGAAAGTGTATATAGCCAGGTGCGGTGGATCATGAGGTCAGGAGTTCAAGACCAACCTGGCCAAGATGGTGAAACCCCATCTCTACTAACATTACAAAAAATTACCCAGGCAGGGTGGCACGTGCCTGCAATCCCTGCTACTTGGGAAACAGAGGCAGGAGAATCGCTTGAACCCAGGGGATGCAGGTTGCAGTGAGCCGAGATTGTGCCACTGCACTCCAACCTGGACAACAGAGTGAGACTGTCTCAAAAAAAAAGAAGTGTATATAATTGGCTGGGCGCAGTGGCTCCCTCCTATAATCCCAGCACTTTGGAAGGCCCAGGCAGGCAGATCACTTGAGGCCAAGAGTTTGACTAGCCTGAGCAACATGGCAAAGACCACCCCGCCTTACGAAAAATACAAAAATTAGCCAGGTGTGGTGGTGGTGCGCCTGTAATCCCAGCCACTCGGGAGGCTGAGGCAGAACCGCTTAAGCCAGGGAGGTGGAGGTTACAGTGAGCCGAGACTACACCACTGCACCCCAGCCTGGGCAACAGAGAGACTCCATCTCCAAAAATACTTATGTAAAAGTAAAAATAAATACATTAATTAAAAGTGTATAACTAAAAACAAGCAAAAGCCATGGCACTTTTAGAATAGGCCTTTTCAAAATGTGAAAGCAATCCCCACCCATCTCTGCTCTCTCTCCTTTTCCTGGGCTTTCCATCTCAGCTGACGACACATTGGCTGTGTGACCTTGGGCAAGGCACTTAGTCTCTCATGTCTCCATTGTTCTCATAAGAACAATGAGAACAAGAATCCCCAGCCGACAGGGGAGAGAAATAAAGAATGTAAAATGCCAAGCATTTAATCGCGTATTGTAAGTGCTCAATACATGTTCCTCTGCCCCTCCGTGCTGTACCTACCACTCCCCACTTGCTGTCAGCAAACAGCAGCAGCATCCAGGCCCATGCATCCCACCCTAACTCCATCCCAGGGCAGTAGCCGCCCCTGACCTCCTCAGGGCCTTGCCTTTTGTAACAGCCCGTTCTCTTAAGGTGGGTGACACGGCCAACCTAGGAGGGGGACTTGAAAAGGAGGTGAGGAGAGGCCAGGTGCGGTGGCTCATGCTTGTAATCCCAGCACTTTGGGAGGCCGAGGCGGACGGATCACGAGGTCAGGAGTTCAAGACCAGCCTGACCAATATTGTGAAACCCCCTCTCTACTAAAAATACAAAAATGAGCTGGGTGTGGTGGTGTACACCTGTAATCCCAGCTACTCAGGAGCCTGAGGCAGGAGAATTGCTTGAACCCAGGAGGCAGAGGTTCCAGTGAACTGAGATCATACCACTGCACTCCAGCCTGGGTGACAGAGCAAGACTATGTCTCAAAA